TATATATATGATTAGAAGTAACTAAGCACTAATATTCAGAGGAAAGAAGAAATTTTTTGTGTAAGTAGACTAGAAAATAAGCTTTACTTTTTAAAAAAAACTTCGAGAAATTTGCTTTTAAAATTCAAGATTTCTGAAATCTAAATTTAGAACACCACAAGTATTTTAAGAATAAGCATCTTGCACAGGTTGCATTTCTTCCGGATGGTTATAAATAATCAAATATTCATGCAATTAGAGCCATTTAAAATGCCTTATCAAAAAAACAAGAAATTGTGCAAACATTCTCAATAAAAGAAAATGTTAAAAGATTTTTTATCATTAATTTGTGAGTTTTTGTTTTCTCCCCGCCACATCCAAATATTAACTTTTATGAGCCGCTGAAAACTTAGTTACGTCTTTTAAATTTGCTTAGAAAACTGATTTAAAATTAATTTTTATGTATTATTCATTCTGACTTTCGAATTTGTAATCGAATTGTTTTTTCTTTCTTTGTACTATATCTTCCTTTCCAAACAGTTGTATAACGACAATAATCAGTGGCAATGAATACGTTATCTATTTGTTTATGTTCGCTTTTTCAGTTTATTACTTTCACCAGCACACTCGGTTTGTTTAGTTTTCAAATTTTAATTTTAAAGTGAATGAAATCTTTCGCTGTAGAAATAAGCAAAACAGAATTAAAAACTCAGATTAGTATCAAAGAAATTTTTTTTTGAGATCATAGGTTTTGTAAGCTTTTTTAAAAATATATTTAATCCATTTTCTGGATGAAAAATCATAATATATAAATTAGAAATTATGTATGGTAGCTGCAACATAGATTAAGTTTTTAATTTTATATTAATGATTAAAAATGATTATTGTACTTAAAATATTGGAATTCTAACAGCTAAAAATTAAAGATTAACTGTCAATTATTTATATTTTTATTTTTTTAATCATAAATAAATTTCAAATTTCAGGTCCACCAAAATTGGATCCAGAAAACAGTAGTGAAATATGGTTTCAAGTGAACCCTATCGGTGTTGCACGTGGTAAATTTATTCTTCCGTGCTATGCTACTGGTAGTCCAGAAACGTCAGTTTAAAGTTTCGTTTCGTGAAAAATCTTCAGAAGAAATCTTGTAAACTTAAATATTTGCAGACTGTTTAATTCGAATAAGTATTCCTTTATTTTTGATCATTTCAATACAAATGCTCACTAATGAATCATTTAAGTACCGGATCTGTTGCAGAGTGGGTCTGAGATAATTATAAATGATATATTCAGAAATAAAATGATATATCTGATATTAAATAATTTCATAAACCGTAAAAAAAACGTTTTGGAAACAATGACTGCTTCTGAAATCCATGTATTGGCTTATCAAAATTCATATAAAGTTTGATACAGTTGAAAAAGATTGTTCAAAACAAAATGACTGTCGATAGCCTTCAATCGTACATCAAAAGCATCCCATCTGAAATTTAAAGCGACTTTGGATATTTATGACGAAAATTTTTTCAGACCAAATAAAAATAAAGTACCAGTAATAAAAAAACCTTTCAGATATTTTAAGTTTATTATTTTTTTCAGATATGAGTGGTTTAAGGATGGGAAAAGATTGAAAGTTGATGGTGATCGAATTGTATGGGAGAAACAATTCCAAAGTGGTACTATAATAATTAATGATGCTCGAGAAAATGATCAAGGTTATTATCAGTGCCACGCTTCCAATATTTTTGGCACTGCTGTTTCCAACAAACTTCATGTGCGAATTGGAGGTAATCTATTTTGAGGACATTGAAGATGATTTAAATATTTAGGGTGAGTGTTTTTAATATGTTGAATGATTTAAAAAAGATATGGTTTCTAGTTTTTTGATTAAAATTACTTCTTCGACTATGAAAAATTCATAGATTTAAGAAATTTAGAGCTTGATCATTTTACGCCGCGAGGTGTGCGTCGACTGATAGTAGACGAAGGACGAAGTTTGAGCATTCGATGTGATATTCCTTATGGAGTGCCAAAACCATCTATTTTCTGGCTCTATCGCGATGCACAACGAACAAATATTATTGGAACTATTCAACATAAACATATCACTGTCGATACCGAAGGTTAGTCATTTTACGAGCTTTACTTTATTGTTAAAATTATAATTGAAAGTTATTGGTTTTTTTTTGGTCAACGCTTAAATTTCTTTTAATACTTTATGGTCATCATTTTTACAGGTACCCTTCATTTTACGGCAGTTGAAAAACAAGACGGTCAACCAAATTTAATTTATCAATGCGCAGCAACCTCTCCTATATTGCGTGGAGAATATCGTGCAGGCAACGAATTCCAACTTATTGTCAATCCTGCTACAAGTATTTCTAATTTGCACACTTTAAATCGATAGCTTCAAAGTTTTCACTTACCTGAACATATTTTTTAATGCAGGCGCAAAAAGTCATTTTATAGAAAGCAGTGGAATGGCTATACATAAACTATGGTTTAGTCCAGAAGAAGTATCTGTCAAAGTAGGCACCAAACTCAAATTAATGTGCATTTTCGGTGGAAGGTAAATTTTTTATAACTTATAATTCACTGCCGTCTAATTTCATTCCTGAATAGAACGTGTTCTCAGCGTGTTTATAATATAAATCACCATTATTTCTACAAAAGAGCAAAACTTATTAAATTGCAATGAATTTAGGCCTTTACCAAATATAACATGGAGTAAATTAAATGGCGAATTGCCGCTTACTCGGTTAAAAGATTTTAAATCACAAGAAGCTGATTACGGTAAAGCTCTGATCATCGAAAATGTTCGTTCGGAAGATGCTGGAATATATGAATGTCGATCACAACATTTATTCCATCAAATGCATGTCACTACAACTGGTAATCCTCCTATAATATGGGATCAACATTTTAAAATTATTGAAATTTAATCAAATCAATTAACCTGTCCATACGATGTTTAAAAACATTGCTTATTAATTAAAAATTCAATAAAATAATTAAACACTTGTCTAATCAGATATGACTTCTTTTTTTAGCTTTCACTGAAATTTTAATTCAAATCTAAAAGTTATTTCAGTAGCTCCAATTTGGATTGATAAACCACCACAGGATATTGACGAACCAGAAGGAAGTGCTGCTGAAATTCATTGCGTAACATCGGGCATTCCAACTCCGATCGTCCAATGGTTCATCAACGGTGTACCATTACATGGTTTGATTCTAAAATCTGTAGAACTTTTCAATTAGAATCTTTTCCATAAATTTTATAGGCACTGTTAATTACTGATGATTTCATTCTAAAAGTGATGTATGTGATGCTTGAATCCCCTGTGATTGAAACAGTTTGATAAGATTTGGAAAACTTTCTCACTTACTTGTAACTTAACATTATTTATGCTTCCTAATTTAACTTGGATTTAATTTTAATTTCATAACTTATCATTGTAATAGTTGCTATAGAGTTGGCAGAAAATGATCGACGTATGATTTTAAATAATGGTCAGATACTACGGATTGTAAATCTGGATCATGATGTTGATACAGCTGTATATCAATGCAATGCGTCGAATCCGTTTGGTTATGTCTTTGGAAATGCTTTTGTGGATGTGCGCGGTAATGCAACTAAATATGATATTTTGTTGTTTTGAATTGTATTCAAAAAATAGCTCATCTTACTTTTTAAATATTTTAAATTGTCAAATTTTCTATTTTTCTTAACTTTCTGACTATCAGATATGATTCATATGGAACTATCATTGATTTATATTCTGCTATTTCTAACTGGAAAGATTTTGAACAAAACAGATTGAATCCTTGACTATTAAGTTGACAAATATTTCTTTAATCTAGCTGAAATACTTGTAAATTGTTGAGAAAAAAATCATGGAATCCAAATTAAAATCAAATTCGATTTTTTTATAGCTTATGCGCCGTATTTCAAAATGCCAAGTCGTCGTATCTGGAATGTGGTACGTAAATCAACTGTAGAGATGTCATGCGAGGTTGATGCAGCACCAGAAGCAGTGGTGAAATGGGTGGACGCTAATGACCATTCCATTGCTGCTGTTGTCGGAAAAATCTATGTTAGCTTGCTTGCATTGTTAATTCGAACTACAATATTCGGTCATAGAAAGTAATACAAAAAGTTCTCATAATCTATTAAACCTTGAAATCAATCAATATTTTTATTTTCTAATATTGACTGTGTCGCGAAAGTATGACATATATATAATAGTTTATACATAATAATTTCGCCAATTTTAGATTTTTCCTAATCACACATTACGCATATCGCAAGTAAATTCGGCTGACGAAGGTCTTTATTATTGCAATGTGTCGAACAAGTACGGTATCAATCGAGCTGTCAATCGCCTACAAGTCTTCAGTAATCTTCCTAATTTGTAATTAAGTTTAATTGCCAAAAAACTTCGGTCAAATGTTTTATCATATTTTCTTTCTTTAATTATTATTTGTATTCACTTTTTATTCAAAGGTCCAACACATTTTATTCGTGTACCAACTCCAAAGAAAACAATTCTGGAAGCCCACGAATCACTGGAATACGTATGTGAAGCAGTTTGTGATCCTCGACTTACAATTGAATACTCCTGGACTCATAATGGAATACCAATTAACGATTCTGCTCATTTTAAGTATGTTCCGTTTTGAAATATTTGATCGACATTAAATAATTCAGAAGCGGTTTATTTCTTAATGTATTATGATTTTTTCTGTTCTTGCTGAATTTCCATTTTTTTGAAATTTCCAATTCTAACTATTCAGACTGCTAAATTCTAGTAGAATGGAAATTTAAAATATATTAAATTCAAAAATTTTCAGACTGTTAAACAATTCTCTGTTAATTGTTGATGCCCGCGGTTTTCATTCAGGAGCCATTGATTGTATTGCTCTTACCGATGTTGATGTCAAAATTTCAGGAATTGAATTGACTGTACTTGGTGCTAATTTTACTTCAGTTTTCCTCATCTTTGTATATTTTCTTCAGAAATTTATTTCTGAACGTATTATTTTGCTGAAAAATAAAACGTTGTAGTTGTCCAAAAAAATAAATGAATATTTTTATGTAGGTATGCGTGAGAAAATCTTTCAAGAGCTCTTTTAAACACTTGAAAATTATATTTTATGTTTTATAACTTTTTCAATTGAATTATTCAAATTTACAGATGTACCTGGTGCGCCATTAGTAACAGAAATAAATTGCGACGAACGAAGAGCATTGCTAAGATGGCGTCGACCAGATGATCATGGTGACCGGATCAAACAGTTTCTGGTTCAAATGCATACTGAATTTGAAGAAGTACGTTTTATTCAAAATAAAATTCCTTTCAGAATTTAGTTTCTTAAAAAAATCACATTTTCAACTTCAGGGATTGTGGCAAACTGTTGTGGAAGAAAAAAATACTGATGCTGATTTTTACCAGGCGGATATTGTACTTTCACCGTGGGTGAGAATTTAAAATTTTGACTTCTAAGCAAAATATAATAAAAAATTATTGAGAATTTTGGATTGGATTATCTAACTTATTTAGATCAACTTCTCTTGCCTAATGAGGATCAATTTAACAAAATTTTAAACGAAAAATCATATTTCAGGTGAATTATACCTTTCGAGTAATAGCTCAAAATTCGCACGGTGAAAGTGAGCCAGGCTTCAGAAGGGGGAAAATGTGTTCCACGAGAGCTTACTATCCATATAAAAATCCAAAAGATGTCCGAGCGGAAGGGAGTGAACCACATAATATGATTATCGAATGGAAGCCTATGGATAAATATGATTGGAATGGCCCAGGATTACAGTACATTGTCCGTTATAAGCTTAACGAACCAGGTGAAACTTGGACAGAAATACGAATTGAAGATCCTTTAGCTGTAAGTTATTTGTTCAGTACTATTTTATTTCAGTTAGTGTGTGTTTGCAAAAGAATTGCATATTTATTCGCAATTTTAGAATCATACAATTGTCCGGGAGCAACCAACATTCCGAGAATATTTGATTCAAGTTGAATCGTTGAATAGTTTTGGTCGTGCGATTGTGAAACCAATAAGTGTCAAAGGATATTCGGGAGAAGATAGTAAGTTCTTCAGGATTTAAATGCAAAAGTAAAGAGCGTTTTCAAATCTTAAAATGTCATTATAAATTCGATGCCTTTGCAGTGCCACTGTTGTCACCGGTTGAGTTCAGCGTTTCTGAATTTATAAATTGTACTGCTGTTCTTCTTATATGGAAACATGTGGATCGAGAGTCTGTACGTGGTCATTTCAAGGGTTATCTGGTAAATTTATATACTTTTTTAAAACTTTTCAAGTGATATATGAGTAAATCATAGTTATTCATATAATTTCCTCTCTTAACGCTTCTTTCATTTTTTTATAGATCGACTATTGGGAAAATGACAAGCCATTTGCTATAGTAAATGTTGGGATTGAAAAACATAAGAACGAAACGATTCTTTATGGTTTAAAGCCGATAACGAACTATACGGCACGTATTAGAACAGCGAACAGTCGATACCTTAGTCATCTGCCAACAACAATCAAATTTACAACTCCTGAAGGAAGTAAGGAATAATGAAATCTTGAGAACTGATTCCAGCAAATCCAACAACTAATCTTGTATATGTTATAGTACCATCAAAAGTACATAATATGAGGGTACGAGCGGTTGGAGCAAGAAGTTTATACGTTACGTGGGAACCACCACGACAACCAAATGGATACATCCGCGGCTATTTCATTACTTTTGAAAGTATGGTGTTATTTCAATAGTTAACTATGTTCAATAATTTTCTTGAATCGTAGTACTAAGCGATAGAACTATTTAGATTCCATTATCGTGAATTACACTTCCTATTTTAATTTTTAAAATGAATAAATTTTAAGATTCCTCAACAGGCGTAAAAGATGAAACATTTGTACTAAATCGACAACTTTATTATTTAAATGAGGAAGGTGAGCCAGATACTGGATATAAGGTTTCTGTTTGGGCAGAAACGAAGGGTGGTGAAGGACCAAAAGTTATGCGACCAGTACGAACTTGGCCACTTCGAGGTATCATTTATTTCAGTTGTGTAAAAATCTTGGAATTTCAATGTGAATAAATACATAAAGATTGTTAGCAGTAATTTATTAAAATGAACTCTTCGTATAAACCAGTATAGATTGCAAAATTTAAAAAAAAATCTTGCAATCATCTTCATTATTTTGTTTCATCCATTCTGAACTCCTTCGCATTATACGGAAGTCCATGGGGAATATAAATAAACATTTTACCATAATCATCAGTAAATGGTACGTGTGTCGAACTTGTTTTTTCTTTTTTGGATTTTTTCTAAAACACTGGATATTTGTCGTGCTCGGTGATTTCCCTTCTTCCAGGAATGAAAGCAAGCCACCCACAATGTCTTTAATTTCTAAATATGTTTGCAGAACCGGATATACCAAATTTCACTGTCGAAGCAATTTCGCCTACTATGGCGCGAGTGCAGTGGTTACCTTCGAATGGTTCCGAATGGGCTATGCCAGGATCTACTTTTCTCGTTAATTATTCCATTGCCAGTAAGATTTCAACTTAAAAAATCAAGCAAATTTGAAAATTGCTCTTTTGCAATTATTGTAGTAATAGAGAATTCAATTGTCACTTGTTAATTTTAGTATAATTCAGATAGTAATGATTGGATAGAAAGTGAACAAATAAGCTTACCTCGAACTGAAGTCCTGTTAAGTGGTCTGGAAGAAGGAACACGGTATAAAATGATTGGTATCGCTAAGGAAGGTCAAAGGCAAAGAACATCTGAAGTAATCATAATACAAAGTTTAAGTCGAGCTACGATCACGCACATCTCTCATGGTATGAATACTTTAAATACCGAAATAGATTGAAAATGAAAAGTGAGCTAGAAAAGTGAGCAGTGTAGAAATAATCTGAAATTTTCGAAAGTCGTTAAAGATATAAGTGCACAATACGTATGTGGAAAGGAAATCCATGTTGATCGGATCATCCGGAACTTACATTCGGATTTAATCTACACGCAATAGAATCGTTTCTTCATTTTCTTATGATTAAACGGAAAAAGTAGATTTGAATATAACAGACCGGCTGCTACTGTAGCATTGAGACATTTTTGCACTTGAATACTGCCAAAAACCTTAATGACATTAAGTACATTATATTTGGTTTAGATAATATCGAGAAGTCTTTCCGTCAAACGCGCATTTATGACTATTGCCAACTATACAATGCAATGAATAATGGAACACTCACTAATTTAATGTTTGCAGAAAGTTTGCAAAGTGCAGCTTGGTTCGTCGCAGTATTAAGTGCAATAATGCTAGCATTATTTATCGCAGCAGTAATGTGTTGCTGTGAACGACAACGAAGCAATAAATATTCCACTAAACAGAAGGAGCTGCAACGAGGTGATCATATCAATGTTGAAGAGGATCAGTGAGTTCCTGATTTTCTTTAGATTTTCGAATTAATTAAGAATTTCGAGTTGCGAGACATACATATTCATATCCTGCATTTAGAATTATCCCTCAAATTTATTTATTTTCAGTGGCTATCAATTCACTTCATTTTTTTACTATTTCTAGGAATTTTATGGAATATCTGTATGGATTCAAATGATTATGATGCATATGATGAAATTCCATCTAGCAAATCATACCTGTGTCACATCATTTGTTCCTAATTTATATACTGCCCTATTGGTTCAATCCATATTTAATATGTATGTC